TTCCTAATACCGGACATGTCCAGGATGCTCACATACCGACTTTGGTCGGCGGGGGATGCTGATTTCCTCAAACCCTGGACCAATTCGTCTTCGTTATCCGCCGATAGGAGGGAGTATAGAGTAAACGCGATCGATCGGCTCCTCGACGACTCAGGTTTGCGGCATGCGTGTTCGCAGATCAGAGCAGCCATTATGGTTGGGCCCCAACCTTCATTAGCGACCAACCTGGCGAGTTGCCGAAGTCCTTCAGTAATGTCATATTGATCCAGAAAAGACGCGATGTCAGGAAAGCCGTCATAAAGACCCTTCAATGAACCATACCATCGGTGAAGTTGAGGGTACCAAGCTTGCATTTTAAATGCCAATATCACCAAAGAGGCAGGGTTGTCCAACGCCGACGATGCAGGGAATCCGGCTACCATCTTCGTGGCGGCTACGAGGATACGAGTTACGTCAGACGCACCTTCCGTGTAATCAGAGTAGTTAGTGTCGTGGATCCACGACCCATCAGAGCCAATGATGGCTCGGTAGGTAGAGTAAGTATCTTCCAGAGTCGGGCTCTTGACCTTGTGCTCGATATTAGGACTTGACTGCGAAGTGACCCTTGGGTCATCATTTGGAGGCCCAGCATAGAAGGTCCCTCCAGCTTCATGGATAGTCCTGTTAGAGTCCATGGTGGCCTGTTGAGACGTGCTACCGGACGGTGGTATAACGGTACTCAATACTGTAGCGGGCCGTGTAGGCTTAGGCTGAGGCTCAAGATCTTCACCACTCGATAGACGCAAATCCGCAGGCTTGTCCATGGGAAGAGGAAACTATTGAGTACGAGATTACACACTGCAATGAGGCAGATCAGTATCATTGAATCAATAGACACTGGCATTCATAGTATCAATCTTAAGCAGGGTAAGTCTCTCCATGTAACCGTCGATCTTGTGAAACCGTCGGCGAGCGAGTCGAATTGGCAATAGCATAAGGGAGCAAGATTTCTGAGCTGCATTGAATGGTACATATACCCTACAGTTCTCCAAGGCCGGAGCGTAACCCAAGGCCAAACTGTACCTCAAGGCCAAGCTGGCATCCTACGCCAAGTTATGACCTTTTTCTAGAGTTAAGGATCAATTCGATATTTCCTTCAAAACCACACATTAGTAAAACTTGGATCGTTTTGGCTGTGGTCAAGATAGTCAACCGTTTGACAAAATCAAATGAGAAACAACACATATTTCGACATTCCGTCCTACGGGTCATCAGATTCCGTGAAATTCATGGAGCCACTAAAGTTGCTCCTTAACTGTGCCTTAAATCTAGGAATGCCTCGACAAGCTTCTCAATAGTGTGCTATAAACTGAATGAACGCTATATGATGTATTACGTCGAGGCTTGCTGGAGTCGAACGGAAGACCCATTTTTCTCACTGACCAAGGCATACATCATAGTGGTTGCCATTCAAGCCCTTTAATACGATAAATCCCATGACTGCTGCTCATTGACTAATATAACACAAGATGATCTTGTCGGATGACTCACCCGGGGTGAGAGAAGTACAGCGTAGAGCGGCAAACTGATCGTACCAATTGTAAGGTGAGAGGACTATTATGTGCTCGTATAACATGCACGAGCGAAGATACGTCAGTATGGAACGGTCTACTGTACGAACGAAAGATGTAGGGTGGTCATGATATCAGGACATCTCAATCAAAGCGTCCAAAAGTCAGATAGAAAGTCATGACAGGATTCTCGCAGAAGGCAAGAGATCCAAAGTGAGATCATCTACTCTACCAATATCCACCAGTGAAGAAATTCTCGGAGATACTCTGCACTCCACTGGGCTCATAATAGAACATCTTATGACCCGCGTCAAGCACCTGAATGAACTATTGATAAGCTCTGGGTCTCGAGGGACCTCAGAGACAATCCACGGGGCTGTACTTTAATGAATGCGAGCTTTGCTCCATTTGAATACTGTGAGGCCCAAATCTTGCCGAAATTCCTACCATCAACCTACGAGAGCCATAATGGGGTAACATCGTTGTGGAAGATACTAACCTTGATATCCTTAGCAGGGGATTTCTTGAGCAACTTCCCGTAGTCTTTAACTCCTTTCAATTTCGAAACCCCTTCGAACGCACCGACAGCATTGGTTATAAAATCTTGGTCACCGTTGACGACAAGTACCTTGATGCGAATTTGTTATAGTTATATCATTCGCCGCCTGATTGAAGAGGTGCTCTTTGTTCAGCTTTATTCAGTACTTCTTAGGTAAAAGTACAGAGAACGGTACGCCATGCGGATAACTCTACGAAAGGCTCTCCGACAGCTCACTTTCAATCCTGCATCTAGGAGACTTGTGACCTGATATGTTGTATCATAGGCAACGAATCTAGCGAATTGTTCGAAGACCTAATATCAGTATCCTTCACATAGGATACCATGGAGTTAGAGTACTTACCTGAGGATTAAAGGGCATCCACTCTTCCGAAACGCCCAAGGCTTGCTGCACAGACTTCAGGTTCAAGAGGTCGGGCACCTTTGAGCAATACGCGGTTCATTAGGGATGAACTCCAGAGTGATAAGATATGCATCGACTTCAGATAAAACCATGATATCAGCAATAAAAGGCCGTAGAGAGGTTGTCACACGTTATACGGTGAAGCCTACTAGCTTACGTTCCCAGAGTGAAGTCTGTAGAAAGTGTTCTCCTTTCCAGGTGGCACGCGGATGTCGTAACTAAGTGAATTAGGAAAGCGACCTTCAAAGATAGAAAGGATCCTCTGAATGCAGACTCTGCATTGGAGAGAGTCACTACTACTCCAATGATAATATTGGAAACATCATTTAGTTATAGATTGTGTGAGGGTAAACAACCATTACGCCGTAACCCAGCGTTCAAAATGGATCAATTGGATGTCGACCCACTTACGCGCTTGTTCCTGCTGAAATAAGCCGCTGCTCGGTGTTATCTTCACAGGTGTTCAGAGCTTGCTTGCAATAAACTAATATTGCAGGGAATGCACATCATTTCGTTGGGGGAATATCTCCGTAGATGGCCCACGTTTAAATGTCGGGAGCTAACCTCGGACGTGAAATTCATTATTTGAGCTCACCTGAGATCGGAGTCCCTCCGGGGCCATTACGATTGCACTCAGCTAGTCGATCTTTACATTGGACCAGCCCTGCTTTCATCTGGTCGATGCTGAGAGGAAGTGCAACTCCACGACTAAATCAGTGAGAAAACGACTCAACTCTGCCGAGGGTAGCAGCTTGTGGTCCCGCGCCATCTGTAAGCATCCTTGATATCTGGGATGGTCCTCATCACACATGCCACATGTCACAACAACCTTACGTAGCTAGAGGCGCTACCATTCCAGAAAGCATCATCACTCCAACCAGATTGACCTTGAAGCCGACAGACTTGACCAGCCGTGCCCCCAACGTTGCCATCATCTGGGCTGAGGGGAGGGGAGGGGGGTTTATACACTTATTGCCGGTGATGTGATCGCCTCGGAGTTTACCCGACGACGAGAAGCCGACTAGATGCACGCCATTGTTTAGGTCTTTATGTTCTTCGAAGAACTTTTTGACGAAGTCCACCCTAAAAGAAATCCGACTGGATCATCATTGCTGTTGTTGCGTGAACTCACAGGTCTAATATTAGATTCTCCCATCCGGCACCGATAGGTCCTTGACTGAAACCTGTAGGTATCGGTGCATCGACCCAGATACCGTTAGCTTGTCTCGTCCATGAGAACCTAGGGCACCGGAAGCGTCTACGGGCTACTGAACGTGCATAACCCAACTCGTTTTCGATGAGGGAATCCTCATCCATGCGACATGGTTCGTTAGCTGTCAACATAATTCC